ATGAAGATTTTTTTCAAGTATAAGAATCAGTAAAATGAAAAATTTTTAATTTCTATTTAAAACTATAATAAATATTAATTTAATTGAAATAAAATATCCTTCACATATAGGTTATATTATTGCTATAAATAATCGATTAAAACAACAAAAAATAGATTTGTTTGGAAATTTAATTGCTTAAACTTCAACTATGGAGAAGTTATATCATTCACCATACAAATAGTTCTTAGGTTCTTTCTTATCAAAAATAATCAAACAGTGGTTGTTTAGAAATGGAAGTTTTAAAATACAATTTGAAAATCCTCAAAAAATTCCTACTAGCAACTGGAAAATTTGTCAATAGGTATGTCTCCTTTACTTGTGTAATAGGAAGGTGATAATAGAGGATTTGGAAAGATAAGAGAATCTTCTATCAAATATTATAAATAAAAATAGTAAAAAAAATCCATGATTAGAAAAAAGCCTATTTATAGAAATTACTTTTTAAATTTTTATTAAAGAGAATAACAATTTAAATTCAAAATATTTGAATCATCATTCAATTAAATCAAGAGCTAATTGTATAATATATAAATAAAAAATAGAAAAAAAATAATTGAAATAACTTATATTTATAAAATAATTTTCAATTCTTCTTTATTTGTCATTTTGATTTACTTTCCAAAAAATAACTTCCTTTAGATTTTAATAATGATCTTAAATCATAACCTTAATGATTCTCAAAATCTCCTTTAAAAATCAAAGCTCCTTTTGCTTAAAATATAAGAGATTGAGAAATAAGAAGGATATTAATATATGAGGTCCCTAAAAATAAATCAAGAAAGGATACCTTCAGCAAATGAATCAGTTTATTTTACCGGGAATTGAAATTATGCTAAAAGATCCTATTTTTTTTTATCTAAAGTTTAAATTTATTACTAGGTCTTAATTTCCCATAAACGAATTGAGTTGTCATCACTAGCTGAAACTAAAGTAGTTCCATCTGGTGAGAAGCATACTGATCGGACATTATTTGTATGGCCGTCCAATTTGGCTTTTTATTATCTTGTCTTAACATCCCATAAACATATTATTTTATCATAACTACCAGATGCTAAAGTAGTTCCATCCGGTGAGAAGGATACTGACCAGACAGTATTAGAATGACCCTTCAATTTGGCTTACTATTATCTTGTCTCAACATCCCATAAGCGGATAGACTCATCATAACTACCAGATGCTAAAGTAGTTCCATCTGGTGAGAAGCATACCGAGCAGACAGAATCGCTGTGTCCATTCAATTTAGCATTTTATTATCCTGTCTTAACATCCCATAAACGGATAGACTAATC